ACGCCACGCTGAAAGTTCTACATTAGAACTAAAATTTTTAAATTGCAGTGTTAAACATTATGGAAAAACTTTAGCTAAGCTTTTTTTGTTTACACAGTTTACAAATTCTGAAACTTCTAAATAATCAGTCGTTCGAAAATAACGAAAATGACATTGTTTATGAAATTGTACTCCAATACCTTTCGCCTTCTTATTCTCTTAAGACTTAAAGAAAACTTACTTTAACATCCTTCAATGTCTGAATCTGCCATTTTAAATTAAAAAAGAATAGAATTTTAAATTAAAAAAGAAAAAAAAATTCATGAGGTAGCGATAAAAATTATACTTGAAGTTTGCGCAGTTTTTAACATTTCTTTATTGCAGATTGAATTTCCGTACGTACTCTATTGCAACCAGTAATTCCCTAACGATCTATATTTTTAGTGTGTGTAGCGTGAATTTCCGAACGTACTACAAGTTAACTAAATAAATAAAAATCCCCTTAATGTGGTCAGTTAAAGCAAGAAAAATTTTAAAATTGTTGAGTTTATTCGTGCTAAAATAAAAGCAAACAACATGGTTCGATCATACGATGACTCATGACTGAAGATTGAGGTAGCTGCAATACAATTTTCAAAGCTGATTTAAAATATTTTAAGAACTAATTTTATTATCAGGCAAAATTTTGTGGAGAGAATAATTGATTCGTTCAGGATCGACTGAATTACTTGTTCTCCTTTTATTTGTTGTTGTAGAAAATATTCCCAAAATTCAGTCGACTGGCTCATTATTTCAGCATGCTCTTTTTGTTTTATTTCGATTGAAAAATTAAAATACTATTAAAACTATTTTGCATGTCGCAAATCAAAGAATTTTCAGTTTCTTCATTTCATTTTTGCGGTAAATTGCATTTCCCTTGTGTCTACGTCATAAATTCATAACGGGTGTATGTACAAATACTATATTTCATGTGTGTTTTGGCAAGAATATTTCTTTTTTATTAGTAGTTTGAAATTCCATATATGTACAATAATAATAATTCCATACTTCATGGTAAGATTCTAAAGAATAATCTTCTCAGTTTAATATTATTTTGCTCATTTCATAACTCTGAAAGAGCATAATAATGTTCAAAAGAATATAAAATGCATTATAACAGTATTTGTTATAAATGCGTTGTCTTATAATCTGCCATTTTGTTGTTAATCGAGTTTTGAAACTATTGCCCATAACAACTGTATTTTATATTTTTTAAATACAACCTCGTTGGATTTGGACTCATTAAGGATCTGGAAACTTAGATTTGAAAAATTATAAAGCAAAAATGTGCCTGAAATTGTCATGAAAATTATAATTTACTGTACCTTTAATAGGACACGGCTGCTGATTTATAGTAGTAGTAAAAATTATAATTTCAAATCAAATTGAGTGCGCGGGCAGCGGGCTATTTTCTAATCCATATTGGTTTCATACAAGTTTCTTCAAAAATAAATAAAAAACACCATGAAAAAAATATTATATTAAAAAGCGAAGAAGAAAAATACAATGCAATTTTTCATACCATTTTGTATAATTGAATTTAACTCTTTAAACTTTACCTTCATTTAATGTTGTTACAGTCTTCATTAATTTTGATAATTTTATATAAAATTAGAGCTTATTCGTTCAGTTAAATTCTTTCTTCTTTGTAATAAAATTTCTTCTTCATATCTTAATAATATAGTCACATCTCTTAAAATTCGTCAAAGCTGTCCTATCTAGTGATTTCTGGAAATCATTTGGCCTCAATTCTATTGAAATTATTTTTGTTTTTTCTTTTCTTATTTAAAATTTTATATTTTTCTGTTAATACAATTTTGATTTGATGTAAAAAGTTTTCCAAATCAAATTTGACTTTGAAAGGTCTCCAGATTTCAAAAAAAGGCTTTTATACAAATCCAAATGTAGCTCTTTTAAAAAAAAATTATTCAAATTCAAAAAAAAAAAAAATTAAAAAAAAATGGTAAAATTTGGATTTGAACTCAAGCATATTTTTCATATAAAAAACAAAAAATGTCAAAATTTTGACGGATTCAGACCTAAGTCCGGTTTAAAAATTGGCCAGCCTCTAGCTACAGCTTGTGCGGTCATACTCCAATCCTAAAAACTTAAGTTTAGAAATTGTTTTGAAAACTTTTAACTTAATCTAATAACACATTCACACAACAACTAACAAACACAACAACATTCACACAAAATATATAGGAACAAATTCTTAATATAAACCACCAAATTATTGTATACATATATTTTTTTTAAAAATATTTTTATTTTTTAAATATTTACGAGGATAAAATTTTTCTTTTTTCATTTTCAATTCAAAATGAAAAAAGAAAAATTTTAAAATTTTTTTTTTTAAAAAATGGTAAAATTTGGATTCGAACTCAAGCATATTTTTTTCGTATAAAAAATAAAAATTTTCGAAGTGTCAAAATTTTGTATAGAAAAATATAGAAAGAATTAGAATTAAATTAGAATTTCAAAATTAATAATAAAATTGACGAAAATAAATAAATAATGAAAGGAATTTGAGAAAAATGAACCGGAACTTGTGCAGAAATAATGAAGAAGTGAAAGTTATTAAAGTACAAACGTACAGAAATTGCAAAAAAATGTGGAATTATTTTATTTTCATGCAGAGGATTTTGAATTATTTTTAAAAATACACTTTTGAACAATATGCAATCAATTTTAGAGATCGAATTTGTTGCGAAGGAGGCAGAATTTAAACCGAAATTAAAAGATAGTTGGAAGAATATGGTTGAAAATATTGAAATTGATAATTTTAAAAAGATCCAAAGTCTAGGATAATAAATAGGAGCAGCTTCGGAAAAATTTTACAAGACTAGGTAAGATAATTTTGTTAAAAATATTCAAATGCTCTTAAACAAACTAATATTTTAAGATTCTTCAATGAAACCCCTACAACTTTTGTCTAGCTACATAATTATGTGATATAAAAACTATGTAGTTTGTTCAGGAAGCAATTTACTTGAAAATTAACTAATTAACTGAAATTTAGTTAAAGTTTAATTGAAAATTAGATAATATTGACATTTTTTTTTTAATTTGAAGAAAGAATTTTGGATAATTATTGAAGATTTGCCAATAATGATTTATAAAATTTTGCACCTTCTGATTGAGAATGTTACTTTAAATTTAAATGAATGAAGGAGATTATTTCTTTAGACAGTATTGCCATAGTTAAAATTTTTATTAGATATTATAATTTTAGGAAAGCATATACTAAAAATTTGAAAAAACAAAAACTTCATAAATGTTTTTGAACTTCATAAATGTTTAAATGTTTGTCAAAAAATGTCAAAAAATTTTAGATGGAAAATTAAGGAATTAATGAATTCGTTTTATTTCAACTGAGGAGCCAGAAGTTGCATTACTATTTAATTATTTTTTTATTGGATAGACAAAGTAATTTTAAAATTAGTTAAATTTCGATAATGTACTATTCAATTATAAATATTCATTCATTTTCTTCAATCACAAAGTAATCACATAAAAAGTTGAAAGAGTCAAAATAAGGATTGATCAAGGAATTTCCGAACGATCTATATTTTTAGTGTGTGTAGCGTGAATTTTCGAACGTACTACAAGTTAAAACTATTCTAGAACTAAATAAACGAAAACCTACTAATTTCATGTATCGAAACGCAATGAAGTCGTTTATTGTATTTCTTTTTCAGAAATATTCTAGAATAGAATGAAAATATTTCAACATTAACATATAATTGGGCTGAAAACGTAAAATAAAAGAAATTTTTGGCGACTTCATACTGCTTTTAAATTCGTAAATCGAAATTTTTAGATAAAACATAATCTTCTTCCATTTGCCAATCCCAAAAGGCATCCGAATTAAAGTGAATATTTTTACATTATTTTTTTATAATGATTACCACATTTTCAAATTGAATTTGCTTTTCTTATACAATTATTGTTAATATACTTAAAAAAAAAAACCGAGAATCGGTAGAGTTGATCATGTAAACTTTATGATACCCGTACGAATGAATGATTGATTTTAAGAGTTTTGTAAACTTGTAGTTGCTGCACTATTTCACCGGGCCCGACTCGAGTAACGACATAAACTCATACCATCTGAAAGATATATATAACCGAAAATAGTTTCCATGTTGTGCCATATTTGTTTATACAAAATTTCAGTACAGTGCCTTAAGTAGTTTCTGAGATAAGCATAAATACCCCAATCATATCGGATTTAAAAAGAGCCGCTGCCTCAATCACATCCGACGTTTATTATTATAAATTATTTGTGAAAATTTAATGAGAAATAAGCTCAATTAATTTTTGAATTATTATTTGGACGGATGTACGGAAAAACGGACTCAGGTTGAATCGATCCAGAGTTTGACGCTAATCAAAAATATTCACTTATGTCTGATTCTTAGCGTTACAAACGGTAAGGAGAATTAAGTATACCCTGCGAACATACGTTCGAACGGCTATAAAAAATCCCCATCATTATAAAATCTATCGATTTGTTTTAGTGTTTGTGCATAAATATTATTATTCCAAAAACAACAAATAAGATAATTTAACATTACCAGTCCATGTAGTGCCATCATTTGAAAGCAGTTTTTTTTTTTAAGTTTACAAATTTACTTTCTAGTAAAAACCAAACCACAAATTGTAATTAGCGGAAAATTTAGAAATATTTGCAAGAACCTCTTGAAGTTCAGTAAAAAGAGGATTTTTTGTAACCTGTAATTGTATCGAGACTGAAATTGTGTATAATTTCTTTACCGAGTTATGTAACATAGTTTAAATCTTAATTAAAAATCGTTTAAATCAATAACTGTGTCAACAATTTTTTTAATTCTTCGGTTTACTCTCAAGGCTATTCTCAAGAGAACAATAATTTCAATTATTTCTTTAGTGTCAAGTCGTTTTCATTATACCAAACTTACTTTTTAAAAACTTCTTCTTCTTCTTCATGACCTTTTCCCTTATTTGGGGTCGGCCCTCCTTGATCTGAGGCGCCAAGAACTCCTGTCTTGGGTTGTCTCCGCGTTCAATCCTGCTTTACTCATATCTTTGTTGATTGTGCCAAGCAATGTTGATGGTGGCCTACCTGGTCCTCTCTTAGGTATTGACAAGTTAAGTGCTTTTCTAACAGGGTGCTCCTCGTCTCTACGCATGACGTGACCATACCATCTCAGTCGTTTTTCGGCTAGTTTTTCTTTAATGTCGGCTACCTTAAATGTGCCTCTGAGATACTCATTTCTTATTTTATCTAATTTCGTCACGCCTGCGGACCACCTTAACATTCTCATTTCGGCAACATGTAATTTTTGTCCGTGTTTCTTATTTGCCGCCCAACACTCTTACTTTTTAAAAACAATTCGAATAATTTAACAAAATAGTGCCATTCAGTGCCAATCAGTGATTTAATCACACCTTTCTCTTCTCTGATTTATGTAGCAAATGATAAATTCGAAAATTCAATTGTAAAATTTTCACAAAAATTACCTATATAAATCCTGTAAAATTTAATAACAATAAGAAAATTGTTACAAAACCAAAATAATTTTTCAAAATCCTTTTATTTAAAATATTTTTTTTTTTCTACGGAGAAACTTTTGTTACGAGAAAATTATAAACCACAATTACATTAACAGGATAACGAAAAAATTACATACATAAATAGTTATATAAGATAAAAAAAAAAAATAATCAATTTTACTAAAAAAATTTGCCGATTTGTTTCAATTGAGATGAAGAAGCAATTTTATTTAATATCACACACCTTCTCTTTTGATTTCATACTGTTCTAGTGCTTACAATTTTTGAATCACTTGAGACAGGACACTGATAGGCGATGTATCAAAGACAAAATGGTAGAAAATATTGAGAATTGTAAAAAAAATCAAATTTTTAATAACCAATATTAATAACCAGATAGAAGTTGTGTGGAAAAGACACGTAACAGCAAATCACCATATGAGAACCACCACTGCATCAAAATTTAATCGGGAAAATCAAATGTTAACCGAATCCTTATAAACAACAAAACAAAAAAGAAAATTGTATTCAAATGTCCAAAATACAAAACACCGTTAAAAAGAAAAAAAAAAACAAAATTATTCCTTTACTTATGGCATGTCCTTTATTTTTCATTGAATGTTTCCCAAATAAATCCTTTTATTGTCAAGGATTTTTTAGTGGCCTTTTTTTTTGTTTTATTTTTTGTATTTTGTAGTTTTTTTTTTTTGATATTTTTTTTTTTTTATTTTCATTATTTTTTCCATGTTATATTGCAGGTATATATGAATATTTTACCGTTATACCATAAAATAACTGTAAATGTACTACTTTACAATATTATAACTGTAAATATGCTTATCTCCTATTTTTTTTTTATTATTTTTTACAAAAACGTAAAATTTCTTTTCATTTTCTCAAAATATTACAAAAGAAAATAAAAAAAAACAAAAATTTAAATCGGTCCTCAAAAATGCAATGACAAAGGAATAAGAGAAATATTGTCCAGAAATGAAAAAAAAAAATACAAACCACAAATTTTTTTAAACAGGATCAAAGATTTAACGAAAAAAATAAAATAAAATGTACACAAATTTTTAGATATATGAAATCAAAATAGTACAGAGTGTTTCATAGCATACTGAACAAACTGAATTAAACAAAAAGCTGCTTGGGATAAAAAAAATGCTTGGAATAAGTCTAAATATTATTTTAGTCATGGTTTAAACATCAAGATTTGTTCATCTTTTCTGTTTCATTTGATGAATTTTTCAAGTGTTCAAGGTTTTTAATTGAAAAAAGTCTAATTATAGAAAATTTGGAAATTAATTAGATTATCATAACTCTCAAGTACATATTTTAAATCTTACGCTCTCAAAAACTCTTTAAGCATCTTAAAGATTTAAAACTTTTGATTATTTAAACACAAATCAAATGATTTTTAATTCGTAGTAACGCCAGTTCCCGAAATTTTCCGCATAACTTAAAAAAAAATCATCTCAATGAAGTTCAAAAATTTCCACTTAAATTTAATTTGGAAATTGAAAGTAAACTCCAATTTTTAAATTGAACTATTGCATTGTAGAACTAAAAATTTATGAGAAATCAACTTTATTGGAATTTTTTTATACAAAACTTTATGTTATTTAGAACTTTGAACCGATCCCAAAGCTTTTTCTAAATTAAAAATATTTGTTTTTAAATTCTATTATTGCATGTAAATTGATTAAATTATTATTCTTGAATTATTGCCTCTAATACAGATTGAATTATTGCTTCAAATCTTGGAATTCGAAAAATGAAGATTAGTAACCGGGGCAAATTCAGAAAATTAAAAAAATCATTAAATTCAAAGTGAACTATACTCTTTATTTTCAAATTATGTAACATACTTACTTGTTATTTTTGACTTTTGAGCACATAGCTCTGAAATTTCCATTGACTTTCGAATATCCTGTACCACTGCACTCAGTTTTAAAAGTACTAAATGACCTATTATTTATATTTTATAGCTATATAGATGGGCGTAAGAGTTAATTTTTTAAAAAAGCATAAAAACTGTCCATTTACTTGTTATAGTGTTCATTCATTTCGATAATATTTATGTAAAAATATTGTCCGCACCCAAATCAAAATCTTCAGATTGTTTTCTTCACTTTTATTTCTCCTATAAAAAAAAATACATAAATATCTTTTAGGTCCATGAATATTCACTCGCAATATACACAAAAAAAAAAAAACAAAATAAATTTTTTTTTATTTCCACCTTCAACTCCTCATCTTTAGATCACAATTTCATTTAGAAATCAAAATAACATAATGGTATCCATTGATTTACAAAATGAATTGCACAATATAACTGTGTACTATGCGATAAGACCAAAAAAACAGAGAGAGAAAAAAAAACGAAAAATACCAATTTCTCTTTTCATGTCCCACTTTTATAACCCTAAAAATAAGAAGCGTAAAACACCAAAAAAAATATACAAATAAAACGCAATGGAAAGACGAAAAAAAAGGTCAGGTAAATAAAGTACAAAAAAACAAAAACAACGCAAAAATAGAAAAATGGATGACGGTTATAAGAAAATGACGAGAAATCCTTTAAAATCACCCGACATTTTCAAATAAAATACAGGACAATAACAAGCCTCTTTTATAATTCACCAAACCAAAAACGAAAATAAAATAACAACAAAAAAAAACAAAATGAGAACAAAAAACAAAATTTTTTCTTTTTATAAGCCCAAATGTGATGAGATGACACGCGGGTTATACCAAATGACATACACCTAAAACATAGAAGCATAATGAAAGCAGCCTTAACAAAAAAAAAAAGGGTTATAAAGAAAAGCTCTAGCTGACAAAATTAATGATACCAATCCTAGATGAAAATACCGAGAAAAAAGAAAAAAAAAACAAAAAAATTATAAAATAAATGATACGAAAATTCACTGCACATCCAAGTCTACACGTACAGTTCTATATTCCTGTACTACTTACCTACAAATCTATACTGACAAAGGTACAAAAGGAAATGTTTTCTTCAAAATATTTCTAAATAACAAAAAAAAAATGAAAAAATTTAAAAGAAATCGGACAGCAAAGTAATCCTTTTAATAACTGGACTCTAAACAGTTTTATTTATGGTGTGTATTTAAAGATAAACGCACTAAATAATATGAAAATTGTACTGTGTCCTTGGTATAGTTTCAGTTTTAAAAAATTGCAAGTTGAAAATTGAATTTTTATTCATGACTAGCTCATCACCCAATAGAAAAAGAATGTCTTACTCTATTTAATGTGTTAATAATTTTGAGTTTCTGAAATTACGAAACATGAACAGAAATATTTTGAAACTAATTAGCATTGTGTAATATTGATTATTGCGTCCAGTAATTATGGAAATTTTAATGATAGCAAAAAAAGACGATAATATTTTTGTCAGTTAATTAGAATGGAAAAATATAAAATGTTAAGAATTACATAAGTATATGGTTACATTTGCGTCTCATTGGTATTTTAATCTGTTTGAGTTAAAAACAGTTTCATTTAACAGAATGATCTTTCAGAATATACAATCCATTTTTTGTTATCTCATTTAATTTTTGTAGATATAGGCAAATGTTATATTAATCAACCTTTTTTATAATTGGTTTTAGATTGCATTTTTTATCCATCAAATTCATAATTGTTGGTGAAATGGATTTTTTTTTTGAAAATTTATTGAGTTCTATACTGTGCGTAAAGATTGTCAAAAGGTAGATTTTGTATGTATATTCGCATATTCACATTTATTATGCAGCAATATCTAATTGTTTGTACAGTAATTCCTCGTAGAACGGCAAGTCATTTATGTATAACCTTAATCGATAATAAATAGTTTGAGGCATTTTATTTAATATAGCGTTTTATTTAATATAGATTACGTTTCCCCCGTACAATTACTGTTCGTTTAATAACCCAAAATTTTAAGTCCCATGTGCTGACAATTATAATTGTGTATGATTAATAATTAGGTTATAATTATTTTGTTTTTATTGAAATTATGCTCACCTGCTGCTCAAAAAAGGTTAAAATTTATTCTGACAATCTTAAAACTCAACAAATATTTTGAGTTTCATAAATTTCTCAAAAAATTTCATTTGATTTCAGAAACTAATTTCAATCCAGATTTTCTTCTTGATGACGTTCTATAACCTTAATAAATAAGTAAAGAGAGAGAGGAAAAAAAAAATCAAAACAAAATAACAAGAAAAAGAAATATATAAAAAAAGTAAGGTAAAAATTGGAATATTTTTACAGCTGCAATCACAATTTTAACGGTAGATAAAAAAAAAACGAAACTAAAAAAAATAGAAAATATAAAGATTTCCTTCTCAATTTCTATGAAATCCTTTTATATTTTTTTTTTATATAATTTTTTTCTCGCTCTTTTCCATCCCAGTCCTCTCTCCTATATAAACTATTGCAATTCTCTCAATATTTTATTTCTCATTCCCTCCCTCCTCTTTTTTTTTCACCTTTATCATCAACAAAGTCTTTTTTTTTCTTCTTTAATACATAAATAAATTTTCTATGTCATTTCGGACCTATCTATTTTATTATTTTGTTATTAACATTCTTTATTTTTTTGATCCCCTTTATACTTAAAAAAATTTTCATTTCTTTCAGTTTAGTTTTTAGTTTTTAAAGAAGAACAACAAGGATAATGGATTGAAATGATAATAATAGTAATGATGATCATCATCATAATAATAATAATGATGATGATGTTGATAATGGTGATGAT